TAATTTTTCTTCTACTTTTTCTATGAACAAAAGAAGACGCACGAACGAAGAGTCCCCGCTATAAATAGTATCGTTTGCAAAGGGATTTTCAAAACATCCTCACATTTTCCCGATTTTTAAGGTGGTTTCTGAATATTCAAGGCTCCCATTTAAACTAAAGGTAGATTATTTCATACTTTATTTAATTCTCGTTTCTACCTTTGTAATTTTTCTTCTACTTTCTTCTATGAACAAAAGAAGACGCACGAACGAAGAGTCCCCGCTATAAATAGTATCGTTTGCAAAAGGATTTTCAAAACATCCTCGCATTTTCCCAATTTTTAAGGTGGTTTCCGAATATTCAAGGCTCCCATTTAAACTAAAGGTAGATTATTTCATACTTTATTGAATTCTCGTTTCCACCTTCGCAATTTTTCTTCCGTTTTTTGCTATGAACAAAAGAAGATGCACGGACGAAGCCGAAAACAGTTCTTTCATTCGAATGTGAACATTTTCAAGCGTAACACATGAAAGTACAGACTATCAATATGTTATCAGTTCTTAGAAATCGTCCGGACATCATATCAGTGTCAGTATTAAAGGTACATTTTATTTATCTTTGTTTTTCCTTGAATGATGGTCTTTTAGTTATTTCTCTTGTTATATCTCGCTTGGTTTCACTATAAGAACTGTAAGAACACAAAACAATCACTGAGGTTTCGAATTCAATCAAGTTCTTTCTTCCAAACTTGTTTCCCTTTATGACTCATTGTTAGCTCAGCTCAAAAGAGCTATTATAAATTTTTGTATATGACAACAGGCAAAATTAATGTTGAAAAGAGTAAATGGGTAAGTAATACAGTCGATGCTTGCTGGTAAAAGTATTAATGACTTGAAGTTCTCTAAAAGGCTTCATTACAGGGAGAAGAACTTTCATATATTTTTCTCTTCAAAGTCTAGATCTTCATTCCTTGATTCTTCTGCTTCATTCAATCCTGTCATAAATGGAAAACCTATAGTTAATACGAAAACTCACATAGAGCTGAGCCAACTTGTGATTGTTTCTCAAAACTTCAACAGCTTTAAACTTTAAAAGTTTATTCATTCTAAGCTTAAAGGTGCAAATTAAATTTTAAACAAACTTAACTGAATAAATACTGATTCTACAGCTCGACCAGCGCCTCTAAGCCGGCTAGAGGTACGAAAAAGCTTCTTTCATTGCACTAAGATTTGTAACTAAGTTTATGACTTTCATGACTTCTTGTGTCGTAAACAGTCATTAATCAATGTCTGTCTTTTCGTGTTCGGTCGTTTTACCTCCCAAGAACGCACAAACGTTCATCGGACGGCATTTTTTCTTCACACCCCTGATTTCTTATTAGAGAGTTTTAGATCCGAGTTTACCGCGAACCTCTAACCGCTGGAGGTCACGTGACAAGTCTTTCGCGTCACGTTTGGGGTTTACGACGTGCGTTTTCAACGTGGGGAGGTAGGTTTTCACGTATGTCATTTACCTGAAAGCTTTTAGCGTATAATTCTTGTTTTATCCCACGTTACGATACAAAAATCTTGTGGAGCAAGTCTTTATCCATTAACAGAGGCACAAATTCGGACGAAATGCTAAATTTAATAAATCCTATTGGATCTTGAAAACAAGGGCCATTCATGGCTGCTGATTCAAAATCCGGCCGTAAATTTGCGAGAAGAACTAATGTAAGAATTTACAGCTCTTTGCTGCTAGATAAACCCAGTGTTACAGTAAATTTCTTTTATTTTCACTGATTGATATTTCTTCTATTTCTAAATGGAAAAATAAACCGGAATCCACTTCTTTAATCCACCGCCAATCTAAATCGAATTATATTTGAACGTCGAACCGCAAACGGGTAACCGCAAACCGCGGTTAGAGGTTCGCGGTAAACCCCGATCTAAAACTCTCTATTGTCTAAAGTCACAGCTCTCAAAGTAGTACATTCTAGGCACAGCAAAGAGCCTGGAAGTGACCTTCCCTCGTGTTTCTCGGCGTGGCGCCATTTTGCAAATGTGGGTGACGTCATCATATATCCGCCAGATCTGGTTGTGGCCCGGACTGGCCGATTGGGCGCAATAATACAAAGCTTTTTTTGTGCCCAATAGGGGTCAGCATTCGCTTGACCGTTTGGAAATGGTCCGGTGAGAGTTGGTACCCAGGGGCTTTTTCGCCTGTGCTTGAAAACTTTCGTCGCGCCTTTTCTCCCGACCCGACTGACTGCCCCTGGGTCTCCGAGGATGATTTTCACTAAACTGAAGTATCGTAACCTTACCGATCGAGGAAGAGAATGCTAGTCAGTGTTTAAAAATTTTAACGCACATCACAATTGAAGACAAGAATGAACTGGCAGAAAGAGAGGTTTTCCCAAAAACAATTAACGAGCGAATCCTTCGACAATGACAACAAGTCTTACCTTAAAAAGCTTCTTTGCCTTTTGCAGTGTTTTTTTTTTAGAAGGACAAACGGAGGAAAGATGGAAAGGACTTTTAGACAGACACAGTGTCCGGTTTCCAAAATACTCTAGCGTTACATTAAAGAGCTAAAACTTACAGTGCTCTTAGTTTTGACGGAATAAACTTTTTCAACATGGCGAATTTGTATTTTCTTTCTCGGAAAGCCTTTGTTATGTGCTATTGTTTTCGTGGGCAAATAAAAACTTTCTTTTTTGACGCCTGTCAAATCGTGCGTCCTAGGCCTCCACTTGTTTCCGGTCCCCCAAACAGGAGGAAGCCATATAATAAACATCTTATCAGCCTCGTTTTTTCGGTCCGTACTGTAAATTACGGATGCTCGTTTTTTTCCATCGATTTATGGCCCAAGCGCGAAGCGCTTGGGTCATAAATCGATGGAAACAAAGTCGGTCCGTAATTTACAGTACGGAGCGAAAACTCGGCTAATAAGAGGTATTTATACTTCTGCCACTTCGGGCCGTAGTACGGAGCTGAAACTCGGCGGGGAAAACACCATTTCCACAGAGATAGGTTGTGAAATTGTGCGACTCACGACAAAGTCTTGAGACTTGGACCGCCTCATAGACGCACTGAAAATTCCTCTTTTATCTCGATTTTCGCTCGTTCTGCCTCGCTTTGCGGTCCACGCACGTTCCTCGCGCAATGCGAATTTCGACAAAATTATTAACTCGCCACGCGAGGAATTAAGCAAAGAGACGTGCACTGATTATGTCAAACCGAGGTTTACTTTAATTTGATTTCTTCTTGCTTAGTTAAAAGAGTTTTACGCTGATATTCTTGCTTTTAGAACCGTTACCGCATCAAAGTTCGCAACCGACAGAGGAACGCAAAGCTTTAAGCGAAGTCAAAAATATACCCTCCAAGGAATCAAATGAACCAGTCAAGATCAAGAAAACAGTGTCATCGAAGCTCAAACCAAATGGCACAGAGAATCAACCTGTGCCGAGTAAACTTCCTAAAACCCTGCACAAACCGCATTCTAGCAGCTCGTTATCGTCTTCTGATGAGGACGCGGGTCAATCAAGGCACCATGGCTTCGTGCGACCCGGCAATACTCCTGGTCGATCTGTGGCTGCACACAGTGTACCCAGGACACCTGGCTTCAGCTTTGGCTCAGGTAAAAAGGTTTTCGTAAAGAAGACAATTTCCAAGTTCAACCCGGATAACAAGCGGAAAAGGAAGTTGTTGAGACCAGTAAACACTGCTTCGAGTTTGGGTGTGAAACTTTAGTAAACAAAGGAAGTCGAAGCAATTGCTTTAGTAAGAAAGAAGAGGTTGGTAAATCACAACTCTCAAGAAGAGTGCAAGTGGTTTCTTTCCTTCATCGAAATTTAGTGAAGTCACAGATTGGGAAAAGAAGTGCTGAGTTTCTGTGACTCAAAGTTATAGCTTTGAGGAATTATTAGATTAGATTTGGGGTTTACGCTTAATAGCGATTTTAGCCTTAACTTTTTAAAAACAATTCAAAAAAGCAAAGCGAGCTACCGTTTTGCAATTTTGTTGAAAGATTTTATTTTAATTTTTTCTTTGTTCTATTATTTATTATTACTTTTTATTCACGAATATTTGGTTATTGTATATAGCATTACCCTAACATAAAAAAATACGGTTTTATCAGTACTTAAGTGTAAATATCTGAAAGGTTAATTCTAATTAAGGTACTGTAGACTTCTGCTTACAAGCCCTGGGCTTATACAATTTTGTCAGGGGTTTTTAACAGGGCTTATAAACGGGAGGAGAGGCTTATAACCGGACTAAAATGAGTGTTTAAAAACAAGCTACATGGCAGTGCAAATCAAAATATTTTTTGAATTTACTCACTTTTTCAATTCATTTTCAATCCAAGCCAGAGGAGGCTTATATCAGCCGTAGGGGCCCATTACCCGGATGTAATTTTTTTGGTTTACAGGTAGATGGACCTATAACTGGGGGGAGAGGCTTATTAACAGAAGTTTACGGTATTTTATGTCATAGTTCATTGATTTTCCTTTGGAGAGAAAACGTTTTTCAGTAATTACAAACTACAGTGTATAGCAGGGCTTGACAGTGTCATTATATGCGTGTCCAGTTAAAACCGACGTTTAAAAATAAACGAGAAAAACACAACTTAAATCACTTGTCGTTGCGTTTATGTGTACATAATGGAGCTTTGCGTGATACAGACTTGTAAGGCTTGGAGTAAACGCCGCCGCGACGCTAATTAAACAGGAATCAACTCCTCTGCTCCCTGTGGCCGAAGAAGACATTTATGACTTTTCTTGGTTATAATTATCATTATTATTTTTAAGAAGGACCAAACACTCAATCCTGACAACAACAAAAATCCTTGAAAGGAATGAAACCTTCAAATAAGGATATTACTGGGGGAGTATAAGTGGCGGTGCTGAAAACAAACAAACAATTTCGATAGGCGGTATGAAACAAGTTGGGGAATTGGGGTCAACTAGACATCTTCCAGTCATAGATAGTCCTCAAGTTTCTTTACTGCTTTTAAAATAAGGTAATAAACTCACTCAATGTCAAAGTCTGAAATGTTCTCTGGTGAATATGCCAAGCGGATCATGCTCCTCTTTAAGTTCCTTTAATCTCTGGATATTTGCCTTGCCAAAATAATTTTCCAGGCGTTGCGCCCTAGTGTTTTCTCCACAGTCAGCATAATTCTGATATGATCCAAGTGAGTGAGGCAGTAATGACCGGGCCGTCTCTTCTGCCCACTGCCTGCACGCATGCGCATTACCTTTAGCCTCGTCTTCAGGCGTCCACACGGCCTGCGCACTGAACAAATATAGTGCATCTCTGTGCACGTAGGCGCAAGAATCAGGTGACTTACGGTTGATTTCTCCGCCCAAGAGCTCGAGGCCGATAGTGTGTGGGTTAGAAGAAACTGGAGCTTCTTCCAATTGGCTAATGATGATATGAATGACCTGCATGGTAAGAGAAAGAAGACAACGTATCATCATTTAGTCACCCAAATGTAAAATAATAAAAGAGATAAAAATTTCAAAAGCTTCACACAATATAATGGAATGATAAGTCAAACTGGACAATTACGTCAATGGATTGGGGGGGGTATAGGTGATTTGGTCCGGGAAAGAATTTTGCCCCAAAACCTCTGGACTTTTTTCCCAGCATTATAGGCCATGAAAGGTATTTTTTCAGCGTAAGAATTTTTTTCGCCAGGTATTTCCTGGCAAGAATTTGTTTCTTTCAAAATGAGTCTGCAGGATATTTTTGTTTCTAAAATTACCCATACCCCCTCAAAAGTCAAACGGTCAGCCCCAGCGGGGGAAAGGTGTCTCCAAGGAAATCTGTGGTACAGTCCGCCCGCCAGTATGACGTCACGTCTCGCGTCAGTGACTTTCAAAATGGCGAGCAAACTGTTCATCGAAGATACGGATAAAAATTTCGATTTAATCACGGAAATACTGATCCGATTTCTTGGATTTGGAGATTTTAAGGTTCCTATTGTCATAGAAAACTAGACTTAAGTACTTTTTTGGAGTGAAATGTCCAGTGGTGTAATGAATTTTAAAGATTCCTTTCTATAGTCGAGCAAATTTTAAGGGCAATCATACCCACCGGTCACACTTTTGAGGGCCAGTGCACAGCAAGATTCAGGAGTTTAGACACAGCAATAGGAGTTTCATCAAAGGATATATCATACTTTATATCAGGCGTATTTTGAGCTCTTCAGAGCTGGTGGAACCCCATATCAATCCTTTCAAAGGTCGCTTAGCTGTAGCCTTGAAATAGGAGCATTGAATCTTGTTGCTTAATCCCGTAAACCAATTAAAAGGTTTCGTTTAATTATTGTTTTTGGGTAAACCCAGTGGCGATTTTAGGGTAATGATATTGATGATTAAGACGACGTACAGGAGGTTCATAAAAAGGATGTATTACACTTTACATTGTGCTTATTTTCAGCTCTTCAGAGCTAGTGGAACCCCATATCGTTCCTCTCAAAGTTCGCTTAGCTGTAGCGTTGAAAGGGGAAGCTAAATGACAGGTATTTGTGAGAGACTGTGAGCATTGAATCTTGTTGCTTTACCGGCGCATTTTAATACTGTATTGGGCATACACCTGTTATTCTGTAATTAAATCCCGAAAGCCAATAAAAGGTTTCGTTCAATTATTTTTGGGGGCAAACCCAGTGGAGATTTTAGGGTAATACAGGTAATAATATTGATGATTAAGACGATGTACAAAAGGCAAGTTTAACTTTCGCCAGTGGGTCACTGGTGGATGTTGTGTGTAAATTAGTACAGTTTGTGGTGTACTGTGTGTTATTTGTCATGAAGTCAACTAACATTGAGCTGTTTCAGAGGAGGGACATGTCTTGACAGCTTATGGTTTTTATCTGGTCGTAAGCTTGGCCAGTATGCACATCAAGAGCTTTTGAAATCCCTTTGCCAAAATAAAACTCCGGACTTAAGCTTAAAATATATATTGATCCAAGTGCATGACCTGCAGGGTCAGCAGTGAGAATAAAGAAAAAAAGCCAAAATGAAAAATAGTGTTTAAAAAAAGAGACCAAACAGGAAAAAAAAACGGTACAAATAAACAGAAAACAGCGTCGCAGGGAGTCGAACCCTGTTTATCTGCACGTGCAAGAAACTTAGGGGCACTCAACGACAATTTTCGGAAAATATCTGTTCGGAAGACGATTTGAGATCTAGAATTTTCGGAACATTTGTTGTAAAATTTTTTTGCTTGCCTGCCTCTCCTAGGATTTTCGAACATCTAAAAAATGGTATAATTGCCAATTTTTAACCGATTTTTACCCTTAAAAGGTCACCTAGAATTTTCGGGAGCCTTTTTTCTGGCTGAAAGTTTCGAAAAAATAAGTTTTGATCCCTATAATTTTCGGATCACTAGACTTTCAGCTAGGAAATCCGAACAGATGAAAAATTTTTAGGGGATGAAAATATGTCTATATCTTTTTTTTTTTTTTTTTCAATAATGACATTTATTTGGTTACAACACTTCTAATGACAATACTTACATTTACATGGAGAAAAAATAAAAACAACGTACAAGAGATAAAGGAAAAATATCTATAATGTCTATATCTACCGTTTAAATACTAAAATACGTTTAACAATGCTATGTTTAAGAGGTTTTGAACTATATTCTCGTTGGGTGCCACTGGAAACTCCTTGACCACTGCACCACAGTGACACTCATGATTTGAAAAATCAATTTTGTCATATCAAAATAATTTTTCTCTGCCATAGACGCTGTTTGAAGTTGGTGGAGCTGTATTTATCATGAATTCAAATATACATTTGAGGAAAATTAGCTTAAGCGCGTATTTCAAAGCTATTTCGCATTATTTCGGGTTCAACGGACCGACTAGATGTAGAGAATCGATCGAACTAGCTTTACTGAATTCGGTGGAGAATTAGGAGATCAACAGAGGCCCTCACTCGAAAGGAATGATATGAAGTTAGGCCCATTTATTTAGCAAAAGAATAGATGAAATATAAACATGTGTGATCTGTGAATGGAACCTCCTATTCTGGAGACTAGACCTTGCCTATTTAAGAGGAGAAAAAGATTTTAGTTTTGATGACCTAAGTGCCGTTCCCGTGAAATAGATGGCGATCCCGCGACACGGCCCGCAAAACAAATTAACAAAATTATATAATCATGGACACAAAATATCAAAACGGTTTACACAAGCAGATTACAGCAACACCAAAGCTCACACTCATTCGATCAAATTAGCGATATATAGCGATATTTGCTAGCTTCTTAGCTTTTCCTCGACCTCTCTCGTCCAAATAACTGTCGTATCCCTTGCTATTTTGCACAAGCGACCCGAGGCTCTTACCCGTTACTATGTGACGTCATACTGGCAGGCGGAGTGGGTCGAGAAACTTAAGTGGAAAACAATAGAGTTACCTTCCCCCGCTTGGGTCAGCCCCTTAGCCCATGTCCGTGAATTGACCCTTATTTAGTTAAAAAGCTTTACTGCAGAAGTCGCTGCAGGAATTTAACTCAAAATCTTTGCAGCACTTGGGGTATTTCTGGGTTTCTGATAGAGATTTTCTAACAAGGATTTTCTCAACCAAAAAACCCTGAAGTGATTTGTGTGACCGGAACAACCAGCCTTACACCTCAGTTGTTGTCCTTTAATCCGCCCAAATAGACGCAATCCATACCTCTGGAGTCAACTCTCCCAGAAAAGCAGATTTCCACATCTTGTAGGTTTTCACTGGTTCCTCCCCAAATCTTTGCTGATACTCGACATAAGAGGTGGTCTGTTCTTCCCAAGGACCATTAACAGCGGTAGAACTCTCTCCCGGGGGACCAAACCTCTCTGTTATACTACGAAGGAACGGAAGGAGTTTTCCCTCGGCTTCACTTGGATGTCCGTCATAGAAGTAATCCACTGCAACCCCAGGGACTTGTGTTATAAGGTAAATGTTGAAAGTTATTTCATCTTCAGCTGATCTACAAAACTCGCTCATAACGTGCAGAAGTTCCTTAAGCTTTGTTGAGTTCATCGGAACGTACCAAAAGCGACCTGTTAGAATACAACGCAGGACAAAAAATGTCATCCATTATATATGGCTCCACTAATTGTCTCTTTTTACACATGTGTACATTAAATGGATGCCGGAGACATACTGCCAGCATCTCTCACTTTCAGAGGAAAGCACAACAACGGATAATCTTTACATGGGACCGGTATGAAACACTTCGTTGATTACATGAGACCGGTACAAACTCCCCCCTTGGAGCTATATAACTTTCTTAAGTCGGTTATTTAACATATTATTCGCCAACTGTCCTAACTGGTACACAATTTACGCCAATTAAGACAGTCAATAGAGAACCGCATATTTTACTGCTCTCAGAAAACTGTAAACTGAATCTAACGCTCATTTGGTGGCATGTTAAATGCACAGCATCTCAAAACGATGCAATCCGTCACATTAACCGAATCATATATTCAATTGAAGTCTTGTTTACAGCTATTCATCGCAGTGTTCTTATTTTGCTGAGAAAAAAGCAAAAATGATGGCGCCATACGAAGAAACATGCTATTTATGGACCCGGCCTGAGATTCGTTTCCGTTTTACATGAGAACGGTACAGTCTCAGAAAGGTACGAAAGTAACTCGAGTCGGGTCAGCGACGAAACGAAGTCAGGCCGGTCTGAGTTCATTTCTAGGCCGGTCCCATGTAAACGCATGAAAAGAAATGTATGGAGACCGATACGAACTCATACCGGTCTGAGTTCGTCCCGGTCTCTTGTAATTACCCCTTAGATGCTATGTTACAGGAACCTGAACTAAGCTACCGCCGAGTGGGCCTCCTCTTCGTATGCACTTTACCTAAATAACACTTTAACAGTCAACATATAAACTATTGCACCTATATCACATTTCCTTCATATAGCAATCAATTGAATTAAACTGTTACGGTATGAGCGTAAACGTGATCGACCTTGTGTTCGGAAGCTTTCGCACCAAACATGTCAATAAATCCTGGTTTTATATGATCGCTAGGATGCCTGAAAATGGGTTCAGCCATCACAGCGATACGGTTCCGGAGACGGGCTTTATTTTCAAAGGTATTTTTAAAGCCTGGCCTTTTCCAGATTCCCCCTAAAATTTCGGTTATATAATCCAGGGATCTAACCGATTGTAGCGAACATAATAGAAATCAGGCTTGAATCGTCCAACAGAGTTCAATATTCATAACAATAAGGCAAGAGTCCAACGTCAAGTTACAAGTTTCAAATGATTTTTTTAATCGATCCCAAAAATGCTTCTAAGTAAAGAGGTCCCTTACCTCCGACGTATTGTTCTTGCAAGGTATGTAATTTGACTTGTAGCTTCGTTACCACGCCATATCCCACTTGCCCAGCTCCTCTCAATACCCAGAAGAGATGTCTGTGCTCTTGCGAAGATGCAACTATCCGCTGACCAGTAGCAGTGACAATTTCCATTTGAAGACAGTTGTCGACTGCCAGCCCCTTCGTCCTGCTGAGAAACCCAAACCCTCCACCTAAAGTGAAACCTACTACACCGACAGTCGTGCAGGAGCCATTCACTGCAGCCAGGCCTTGTGGGCATGTGACGTCATCAAGATCCTTCACGTTCACTCCTGCCTCGACCCAGGCTGTTGCTGTCTGAGGATCAATGTCGATGTGATTCATTGCAGACATGTCGAGAACGAGGGCATCGTGAATGATAGCCAAGCCTTCAGATGGGTAAACAAATTGTCACTTCAATTTTGATTGGAAATATTTTAACTTGACACGCAGGTATTTTCTCTTGTTTCAGTCTGCGCGCAAAAACTGTTGGGAGTCTGGGTCGTGAGCTGGTGAGAGAAATAAGTACCATCTATTGTCAGGAGCCCTTCCCCCCCCCCCCCCCTCTCAATCAATCAATCAATCAATCTTTATTCTCCTAAGATAAAAAGACATATCTTAAGTTACATCAGCAGTTGGGAATCTAAACATACATAAGACACAGTGCATACAAATAAAAAGATAAAAATACATAAGGCATACTGTATATAAATAATAGAAAGATCCAAGATTATATCTAAAAATAATCCTATTTACAAAAACATTCTTAAATCTATCGGTCTTTATATCCGGGCGATGAGCACTTTTGTTTCTGAGTAGATACTTTGTTTCTTTCGGCTTCTTCGGAATGACGTTACTGAGCGTGCAATCGGGATCCACTGAACGTACCTTGAAAAGCTTCTTATCTGCCTTTTCTAAAAGTTCTCGAATGTCCATTCTCTTAGATGTGTATTTTCTTTTAAAGCATCTATCCAGAAAGTTTTGTATGACCGTGAGATCTGAGTTTACAGCGCCATAAACAGGTAGACTATAAGTGAAATTCTTTAAAACTAAGGCGTCAAATAGGTGGTCCACTTCACCTTGACTGAAACCTTCCTTCCTTACAAACAGACACTTATTTGCCTTAGTCAACTTAGCACGTACGTGTTCGCTATATTTACAATTCTCCTGAAACATAACGCCTAAAATGGGCAGCTCCGTGCATTGCGGAATGTTGTTAATATATCCTTTCTTGCGAAAAATAATTTCTTTACCTTTCGACGGATTACAAATCATACTGTTTTCATTAGACCAAGTTAAAAACTGATCCACCAAATCCGTACGACGGTGCCCATTACTCCAAACGGGAACACTGATGAGAGTAGAGTCATCCGCATATTTAATCAGAGCTGGGTGGTTATCTATGCTGATTTCCAGATCATTAATAAAAATGCTAAATAAGTACGGACCACTCACACTGCCTTGTGTAGTGCCCCTGTTCACACATTCCCATTGTCCTTGAAAACTATTGTTTATTATCCACTGTTGACGATTCTCAAGAAAGCTTAAATACCAATTGATTATAAACCCAGTCAGGATTAAAAACCCAATCAGGTTTTTAATTGGAAACGAGTATTCAATCAATAGGGACCGAGACGAAAATGGTCTCACTTGAGAGATGTCCGGATTACGAAAAAAAAAAAAAAAAATAAAGACAGCAGTGAATATTCATACTAAGTGATCAAAGATCTACATGGTGTTATATGAAAGAAAGACATTGTATTTGTGGCTTTTACTTTTCTGTTTTACAGTATGGTGGCCATCTCCATGAACGCTCTGTCTGAGTTAAAATCTTGATCCAGGGTAACCCTGCGTCGACCTGAACTTCAGTTGCATCGGTGCAGTAATACTCATTATATTGACAATCAAAATGGATTAAAATTATTGCCTTCTAAAATTGTTTGAATCAATGTTATTGCTGCGGAGCGACCGTAGGGAGCGAGCAGCAACATAATCAGGATTTAAGGGAAATATATAAGGGGCGACGAATTCTCAAATTCATCATTTTTACCACAATGCATTGCATTTAATCACACTTTTTACCACAATGCATTGCATTTAACCAAAGTGCATTGCGCCACGAACAAGTCAAGTAAAAACACGGGGAAGTTCGCATCGTTCGCTGCCCAGACTCAGAGTTTTCTTTGTAGCAAATTTTCTACAGCACGGTTAGAGGTCTTACCAAATTTAAGACACGCAGGAGTCTTTCAGATGAGTACGATGGTTAACTTGGGGATTGGATTTCAATTCAAGAGCCTTTGACTCGTCCAGGTGTTAAACCTGACGAGAAGATGAGTATTTGCTCTTCGACTCCGCAACACGGGGGATATACAAATTCCAGCTTGCTAGAAGGTGATGTGAAAGTGAGAAAATGTCATGCCATGCTATTCTTAAGAACCTGTATGAGCCGAAAATGGATGTGATTTTGACCATTCGCTTCAAAATAACAGCGGAAATCGAGATAACAAAACATATGTTTTGTGTCCTACGTTGCAGACGAGGACGTGTATCGGCGTTTTGAAAAGCATAATTATGTTCTTTCATTCATTCATTGCCATGGAATATGCGTTTACATTGTTTTTTTGCTGTTAATAGCTCGATTAATGCGGCTGGCGATCATCTTGCCGGCGGAAGTTTCACGGAAAAGGAATTAAATTAAAGACTTTTCCCAAAATTACGTAATCAGTCTCTGTGGTGTTGTGGTGAGGTGTAGTCGCGTCGAGCCGATGGTGCCGGGTTCAAGTCCTACCGAACTATTTTTTTCCTTCTTTCTTTTTTTTTTTCTGTTTTTTTGTGTTGTTGTTTTCTATAAACATATTCTATCATTTCCTACAATTTACTGTGGGAAAACCAGAGTTGATAACCACTTGATCATTTTTTAAACAACGTTCCCACGAGTTCTTTATATAGACTGATAGTAATTATTCTAGTACTTTCCAACATGTAAATAGGACATTCAATGTCATTTTCGATTCTTTTAAGTCCCACTGCCTAACTAATGCCAGTATCAACAGAATTTGCCGCAGCATTACTATCTTTTAGATACCCTAGTTGTAGGTTGTAAGATAACACTAGACTAAGGTTCCTAGAAACCAAGTTTCAAAATCTGACTTTCTAGAGTACCTTTAGGGTCATGCCCCCCACCAAGCACTGATACTTGAAGCTGATTGGCTGAGGCGTATCGCAGCACACGACATACGTCATCCGTAGTCTTGGGCGTGAAGAAAGCTCTTGGTTTGTTGGAGTCGTTTTCACAGAACAACCTTCCCATGGATTTTTTATACTCGTCCTGTCCCTCTAGAGCCACTAACAGGTTTGGTGATTCTTTGCACAAAGCCTTGATCTCATGATCAGCGTTTTTCTTGGGGAAGTTCATATTTCACAGGCCGCTTCCTACAAAAAAAAAACACAAGCAGGCTGATCTCTCGAAATATTGGCATACTATGGGAGTCTTCTCATCTAGGGACACAACTGACAACAATGTTATCTTGTTGTAGTTTGACTCAAGGAAGGACTGCCTGTTTCTCAGAACAGTTTCACGAATATACAGATGTTTTACAGATGTCTTTTCCTTGCAGACACTCCTCAATAAGTATATGATTGTCATTCATCCATGCGTATTCCTGCATTTGCTCTGTTCAGCTAAAAAAAATTTGGCTATTTTGTCACGGTCTTCGCATAGCCGTGAACTCTTTCTCCATTTTCTTGAGTGAACTTATGTCAAAAACAGCTAGGCTGCCGCGCCGCTGCCTGGAAACGATTGTATACTGAGGAAATACAATTATGCGCTACTGACCAAGCGTTGGGTCAAGATGACTGGGTATTGGCCAATACCTTTTTGCGTTTGAACAGAGACGAAGTGGATATTAATAACGAAAATCGCAATAAGAACGAGGCAAATATCCTTGATAGCCATCTTGGCCGAAAAAGTTGGGTCAATAAAGAATTTACCATATGGCCTAAAAGAGAACTTTTCTTGCGGGACCAATGCGAGAAATTTCGAGCGGGGAAGATGGCCCCATCTTGTCCCCTCGGGTAGCAAATCAGTACACGGACTCGCAACTTGCAAATTGTTGGCTTTCATATCAAACGAAAGAAATCACCGATTCTTCCAAGTTCTACTTTCATGAAGTATTGGGGCAGCTAAAAAAATATAAATATTAATACAAATTTTCACTTCCAAAAGGTTCTTCGTTTTGTTATAGAATACGCTTGAATTGCTAGGCGTTTGCTTGACGCAGCATTTACATTGATAACATGGCGGTCGAGAAAGCTATGATGTAGGTCAAAAAACCGACTTATTTTGAGGGATTTTCTATCTGAACAGTCATTGTATTAGAAAAAGTACCGAGAGATGACCTTAACGCTTTCAAAGCAAAACTCAGTGACAGATGTCTCTTTTGGTTTATGACCCGCCATGTTGGTGTCCATAGGAATGGGCATCACGAAGTGTCTAAACACAAAGCTCTATAAATTTGGGTAAATAATTTCTTCGATATCTCGCATATGAAAAGTTGCACTGGCCTGCTTTCATTCCTTAGATTCGGGACTTAATCTTTTGAACGATTTTGATTTTATTCAGTTTTGATGGCGTGGGCAGTGAAACTGAATCAGCAATATGATCAGTGTTTGTACCCACTCTAATCCGCCTGTATTAGCTTGTATTGGCTGGTTTTCAGTGTCACGCCATTCAAAATAGATCAAAATAAAAATCAAAACCGTTTAATAGATTAAGTCCAGAACCTAGGAAATGAAAGAAGGTGAAATGGCGAATATGCAATGACTCTCGCCAAGATTCAGGTCAGTGGAATGTTTCGTATGCGAGATATCCAAAGATATGTTTTACCCAAATTTATAGAGATTTAGCTAGATTTTTATGAAGTTGCCTTGCTAGGGCCCATCCTGATGGGCACCAACATTGCGGACGAAAACCAACAGAAACATCTGTTACCGAGAAAACAGCCGACGCGACGCCACAAAACTGTTTTCCCGAAATGACGTCTGAGAAACAAGCGAAGAAATTTCATACTAATGACGTGTGACTACCCAGATCTGGGTAGGGCTCCTGATTGACTAAAGCAAATTTCCCACGCTGCACGACCAATCAGAAGCCCTACCCCATCTGGGTGGTGACGCGTCATCAGTATGGAATTTCTCCGCTCGTTTCTCAGACGTCATTTCGCGGGGAAACCAGTGGTGGCGTCGCGAAACATAGGCTGTTTTCTCAAGCTATTCCTCGAGGAACTCATGAACATTAAAGTAACACTTTTTTTCTAAAATATGACCTGTTTAGTTAGCAAAATTCACCGAAATAAGTCACATAATTTTAAATCTACATGTCAGCTTTCTCGGCCGTCATGTAAATGCCGAGTCACGTAAAAGCTTTAGATGATGCGTGGGCTGGCTGCTGCGTAGGCTACAGCGCTACCTGGTTATAAAGATTTACCCTAGGTTTTAAAGACAATTAGAAACGAGAAATATTTTGAATGAATTGGGTACTAAAGTGTGACGTCATAAAAATGAAATTTCTGAAATTATGGGATTTGTCAGGATATTCTGCAAGAACAATGTCCAAGAGGCCTACTTGCCAAAAATGAGCATTTCAGGGCAAATTGTCTCTGAGATCGTATGTTAAAAAACTCCATACAAACCCTTCTAAATTTTTTTGTAGGTCGACCCAAAAAAATTAGAAGGGTTTGTATGGAGTTTTCTAAGTTTAACCGGCTAACATCTCAGAGACAATTTGCCCCAGAAATGCTCATTTTTGGACATTGTTCTTTCAGAATATCAGAATATTTCAGAATATCCTGACAAATGCCATAATTTCAGAAATTTCATTTTTATGACGTCATCACTTTAGTACTCTATAATAAATGCTTTTATTATTCATTTAAAATATTTCTCCGTTTCTAATTGGCTAAAATCTCACGTATGATACACTTTTTTACCTTGTATGTTTTGTTTTCCCAATTGAGACCACGTGATGTTCTCCAGGAGTTTGCCTTTTGTCTTTTCATTAATTATGCATACATAGGCACGTGGATGCACGGACATAAGACGAAATTTGAAAAAAACAGTTCTCTAGAATACCATCACGTGGTATGAAATGGGAAAACAAAACTTACAAGATAAAAACGTCTATTCATCATAACCAGCTACTGTTCACCAGATTTGGAAGAATTTTGCGATGTGTGAACTGAAGACGTCAATAGACCTTTTTTAGCTTGTATGTTTTGTTTTCCCATTACAGACCAAGTGATGGTACCCCGGAGAACTGTTTCTTTCAAATGTCGTCTTATTGTATGCAAAATTAATGAAAAGACAAAACGCAAATTCCCTGGAGAACATCACGTGGTCTGAATTGCGAAAACAAAACATACAAGCTAAAAAGGTCTATTGTGCAGCTGCCAGATTATTGAACCGTTAACCGAGAAAACCTAGGGACGAGTTTGAGTTGTTTTGGTAGTGATACAAAATGGCGGAACATTTCAGGAGGAAGAAATAGGCGAACCATATTGGTTAAATCACAGCAAGAACAGTAAACAGACAACTCGACGGACGACATCTTCTATATCAGTGCAAAATATTTGCAGAACTGAACCACCCTATAAATCCTAAACTTGCCGATAAACATGCACTACCGAATATTAACTAAACATCGATGGACGTAAGCATGTGAATGAGCTTGTTTTTAAACTAGGAATTATTTTGAATGAATAATAAAACTACTATTCAAGTATACTTAACCTAAAAACACTGAAGGAAAAGATCACCTGAACAACAGCAGTTAAATGTTAAAAATCGACGTTGTTATGGTCTAAACAATATAGGTTAAAGTGGCACATAGTCGGTTTTTGGCTTGATTGATTCTGGCACTCGCGATGGTAATATGGCTGATTTAGCCAAGTAAGGCGAGCAGGGCGTAAGGAGCTAGCCTAGCTCCTTACGCCCTGAAGGCGAGTATTATACCTTAATACGCCGTGACTGAGACTAGATTGCCGCCAACAATGTTTTTGGCATATTCAGTGACTTAAGAATAGAACTCAGATAATGAGTGTGCAGAAGAGCTTGTAATATTCTAAAAGTTCTGATGATTCAAACCTATATAATTTTAAAGATAAAGGATCATTAGTAAATAATCGAAAATAACTAGAAAATTGCATTCCTTGAACGAACCCTTTTAATTTTGTCCGGAGCAAACAGTTCAAGTTTTTTACAAAATTCGCGATGTTGCACTGGCTTTCCACTTCGGCATTCGGTTTAAAATAAATTGTGTCAAAATATTTTTATCAAGGAGAACTTCTTCAGTTTCATACCTTTGCTCTGATACTCATTGAAAGAAGTCAAAAATCAATAAGAGAATCTTACAAAGACTGACTCATAAAGCAATAACAATTTAAGGCTACCTTCGTGGATTCGAAGAACTTTGGTCGGCCCAGCAAATTGCTAGATACGTCTCATCTCAGACAACGCTGCCTTCGACGTACGTGCTGAGTTCAGAATTTTCAGTAACATGCAAATCCGGCATTTCTAAGAAATGCTTTCAATGACGGAAATGAACGGAGTTCTAAGTGGCTTCGAATATCAGCTAAGATAGCGGAGATCACTGCATTCGAAACTAAGTTCTTCATACTTTCGATATATCAAAATTCATCAATAATTACTAAAAAGCTTTTTGTTAATATAATATTTTACTATAATTAACCATAGCGTTTTTTTCCGCGAAGTCTTTTGATGACTTAAACGTTTTCAGTTTCCGGTCCAATTCATAAAATGTAGCGGGCAATCTTCCAAATCTTTTTTCGGTGATTCGAATTTCCCTATTCGAGATCAGCATTAAAAAATAATGACAGACGGGCCGGTCTGTGCGAAAAAAAAAATCTTAATTTTTCCTTTAACCTTTAGAACCGCGAGTTATTGAAATATGCAAGTTGCCTTAAAGAAAGTGAAAGTTCATTTCGTAAGATAAAGGGTGACCAACAATGGAAAAATTCATTTCCTGTGCATATGACAATACTCTATGAAAGCGTCTCTCTCTCTCTCTCTCTCTCTCTCTCTCTCTCTCTCTTACTTATTACCTAAAGCTACGAAATCAATGGCCAATTGCTTCGCTTAATTGATAGTTTGGCTGATAATTAAAAAGATCGTTCATTCAGCAGAGTAGCAGAGGTTTAGCAATGTGGAGCACCGGGAGGTTACTTGGGCTAATTTTTGGTGGGCCTGTGCCGCTTGCCTCTCAGAACCTCTACCCCATTATAGTCTATTCTGTGGCCATATTATAGACCCCATCTTAGTCACTTTGGGGGAAAACGTAACTTTCGCAATCCCAACTTAGTCATTTTAACATCTACCCTGTTAAGCCCTTTAACTAGGTCATCCTGAAATGAACTGGCACATTTGTTAAACATACTGTGGTGTAAATCTTTCTTTTTTAATATCCCTACATACCTGAATTTTTTTCCCCCAAATGCTGAAGATGTGGGACCCCATTCTCTAGTAGTAAGTCTTAAAAGATGCAGCCTCATAATAGTCAATCCAGTCGTGAAAATGCGACTCCATCCAGCGGCACATACACATTAGCCCACTACTAGAAAGTACCCCCCCCTCCGGGTGTGGAGATCGAACGTTGGTTTGTCTATTACGACTGAGTATATAATTAAGAAATTAATAAATATTTGCTCTCAAAATAAAGTTTTCAACCTGGCCTATATACCGTGGGTAGATAGGAAAAACAATTACACTGCCGTGATTCGAAGACGTGGGTCCTCTTTTATTCTCCTAACAACAAAAAGAGAATTTTGTCTTTCATGAAAATCACTGCGGTTTGTGGTTTACCAAGTTGACTCGTTTACGCGTTTGCGTTTTTGACCAAAAAGAGACCATTCTCTCATTTCATTGATTCGGACCGGCAAAATCATAGTATTCAAAGGGTACGTTGGCTCAGTACATACTGACTCGTATATATACGTCATTATATTACTGATTTTGTTTTTCGGTTTAATGTAGAAATGATCTACGCTGTATGGGAAAGGGTTTTGGTTTGTTCGGAATAGGCCATCACAGTCTATCTTCAGTCTGTCTGTAAGCTTTCCGGTGTCTCGGACAAAGCCGTGTTTTGTTCATCCGGAATTATAAAACCCGAGAATACACCATAACCATACAAACGTAAACAAGAGCTACCTATCAGTTAAGAGAGCTACCTATCTACCTATCAGCAAAGATAACAGGATAAGCCCGGTTAGCTCAAATGGGATAAGCGCCGGTCTGCTGAGCGGGAGGCCGTAGCTTCAGACCCATCTGCAAAAGGTTAGACTTTCTAGTCTTCTCGGATAAGGACGATACTGACCGTAGGCCCCGTCTCACAAGCCCTTGCACATGTAGTAAATCTGTGGGACGTTAAAGAGCCCACACACTCTTCATAAAGAGTAGGGCACGTAGTGCCCGTTGTAGTGGTCTATCTCACTTTCACACTCATCTATGGGGGCATGATTACTCATTCCTTCATTACTTGTAAACTGCACCTTTTAAAGCAGTCTGGCAAAGTCCCCAACCATGCAGTGTTGTAAATTATCCCTGAAAAGCCCTGAGGGGAGTGGATAATAATATATTTACAATTTAAGTAACAAATCAAGAAACACTAATTTATGCAATTTTACAAACAATGCGTTTTTATTCTTCAGTCACAAGAGTTTAATTTTAAATCTTCTTTCTTCGTACTGCTGATGTTAAATATGTCGCTGGCCTGCCGATTACGAATCCCAGTCACTGTAGGAGTTTGCATCCTTCCCAAATGTGTAAGAGGCTGTTGGCATTTGATTACCAGGATCTTTCATTGGTTCAGCCAAAGAGAAGGCAGCTGGCAAGGCACGCATCTCAGCAGCGCAAGACAGTGGGGCTAAAAAAACAAAGAAAGCAACACGGTTTCAACTCTTTTTCAACATTTGTTGAACCAAATTCTGAACGAATGTTGCCGAGGCAGTTTGGATGGGTTGCCATAAACGTGTTGGAGTGTAATGCAACTTAAAATAAAAGCGAATCAGAAACTTGCACCAACTCATCAAGGCGTCGTCAAGAACTTTGGAAAAGGTATCAAAAACTGTTTAAACAGGCTTTTATTCCCGGCTCTGAAAGGACTCCGAACATAAAAGCATTTCTAAATTTTGAGAATTTAGAAAATATGTTGCGGTCCAGCGAGTTTTGGCAACAGTGATACGTGCCCAGAATTTCAAAATTATTTTACATGCCGGGGCAAATGTTTGATCTGAACAATAAGGCATAACACAGTGGAACTTTTTTTATTCAACGAGATGTATATAAACTGGCCAGGTATTATGCATTTTAGCTTAAACCAATTTCTGTGTACGTTCTTACGACAATTTTGCAGAAGGCGCGCCGGTTTCCACTGAGAACCAGAAAAAACGTGCATTTTGCTTGGCGAAGCATCTTTTAAAAAATTGAATGAAACGCTGTTCAAAAACATTGTTATCTAGGTTACTACTAATATCGGTGTTTAATTTCCTTTTTAAAACTCAAACTTTGAACTTCGAGTTACCAGGAGTTTCCTGATGATTTAACTAGAGAAACTGGCTTAAGAGCGAGGGCTTTCAGGATGCAAACGTTCGTTACTTTTAAAACTCATTCTTCTTATTTGAAGTTAATTTAATGAAAATTTTACGTCAAGTTATTTTCTTGTACCTTTGGTGCTCTGATGTTGAACTTTACGCTTTTCTGGGAAGGCACCTCCGACATTAGTTTGCTTGATCGCTTCCATCTGAAAGTCAAATTACGTGCTTTCGATTGAATTAAAAACATACCTGTCGTGAGCTAATACTGCAGTAACATTTAGCTTCTTTAAGCCTAGAAATAAAGGCAAAGAAAATATAAAAAATCCCTCTCTTACCGCCTTTTTGAAGATGTTCGTTTCCAAATAGAGAACGGTTTTTGAGCTTCAAGTGATTCGCCTCGAAGTTTCCCCGTCAGAATAACACACTAATTCAAAGAGAGCTTCTTTGTAACGTCGCTTTCATCTAAGGGTTGACATATGACAGAAAAACGTGTTCGGATTGGTTGAAAACATGAGATATTTTTTCCCCAAGGATCTGATTGGTTCATGGTTTGAAAAGCTCTTAACAGGCGTTAGCACGCACAATCTAGTATCATTTTCTATTTCTCATCTATTTTTTTTTTTAATAATTGCACAAAAACATCAGTTACCGTTTTTTTGTAGCCTTTAAAAACTCTGTTTGTAGAACTTCAGTTTATGAAAACGCGGTTACTTAATAAAAGCAACTGAACTTTCCTCTGCTTCAATACGTGACAGCCTCGACGGGTTAACATCACAAGTTTATTTTCTTTGAAGTATCGGAACTTCTTCGTCCCAGACATGTGATCTTGACAAATATGCATGAATCACCCGTTGCAGCGGATACAACCCTACAACACGTGGTCATTTCAGAGAATCAAGCCGGAATAATCCGTTTTTAGCTTGAAATGTTTGTTTACCCACCTTCACCCCACGTCACGTTCTTAATTAAGGAAGTTTTTCCTTGTTTTTTTGTGGACTACACATACCCAGTGTGTCATATTTAGCATCAGAAAGAGGACGAATTTTGAGTCTAAAAGAGTTTTGTTAAAAATTAGATTACTGCCATTAATAGCTAACCAACAGAAAATTATATAGGCAATTCTTATCACTGAGCTGTTTCTCAGAAAATAACCTTGACGCATAATTCTTCATTTATCACATTTCTTCGAAGAATCCTAGAACTTTTGACGCAGAATTATTTTTGGAAGCTGGCTTTTGATTGGCTCAGTGAACAAATGGAATGTCGTTTTCGGTCAGCGCCGTAATAAAGATGATCCGAACTTCAGTCTAAGAAACACGGCTGCTTCAATGCCATTCATTTTCGCCATGTTTGAAGTCTTTGCCATCATATTTACTTTAATAGCCATGTTTGCTTTAGTCTACAAGAAAACAAGGCAAATTATCCTGTGCTCGCTTCTCAATATTCTGATTGATGTTTTCTACAAGCGAGTAATAGCTGATAAAAGACGTCCAGGTATGTGGTTAGGGAAAGTTCATTTGATATGACAAGAGGGGGGGAATGAAGATATTGAGGGGGGGCTCCGAAAATTTTTAGACACCCGAAGGGGGGGCTCTGAAAAAATTGTTGCGCTAGGAGGGGGGGCTCCGAAAATTTGTATACTTCAAAACCAACACATGACATCATCATACAGATCGGATGGTTTTCAACTCAACAATTTAATGACCTGTGCAACTCAGCTATATCACGTGTTTTACAGATATAACAAATGTAGTCTCAGTAATTATTACACTCTTGTTCATCCCAAAAATGCTTTAGAAAATTGTATCACAACTGTATCTCAAGTTTGTCATAGTATAAACCATTGAAGACAATAACGGTTAATATATTTAATACAGTCTAGCGATCTTTTTCAGGGGAGCAAAGGAATTGAAGGAGGAGGGGGGGCTCTGAAATTTTTTTTACTACCAAGGACGGGGCTCCTAAAAATTGAACCGCTAGCGAGGGGCTGCTAAAATTTCAAGCTTCGAGTTTCAATATCTTCATCCCCCCCCCTGTCATATTAAATGAACTTTCCTTACAAAATATATTTTGTCTTGAATACAGTAACAGCCAGTCGTAGTACAAAACGGTGCTTTACTCTTCTATGAGCACTTTGATAGGGACCGAAAGCCGGAAATAGACCATCTAGTACGTTTACATACCTCCTTGAAAATTATTGTCCGGCATAACCATACAGAAAGGACTTCTGTTCACACGCAGGAACGGTTGTGACAGAGCGAAGCTGCGCCGGGCCGATCACAAAAAGTGGAGCGCGCGAAAAGCTATCCTGTGTCGTGTGTATAGCCTAAATATTGTTTGAGTGAGGCCTTTCAGTGCTGTAATTAAAAATGAAAATGAAAATGATCCGAGTTTTGCCGATCAAAGGCGCGCATCATCAGGGATAGGAGGAGCTATATACTTGTATTAAGATAGTCTCTAAAAAGAAAGGACTGCAAGCTCGCTGCATTTCTCACGGAACTTGAGGGTTGGTTTGTACTTGCCTGTATAAAATGCTTGGCCGGTGCAGGCGTAGATTTGCAGAGACATATTCGTTCACAATAATCTTGCCTTCGATGCCTTTAAGATAGTCATTTGTCATGTAAGACTAAATATGTTTTCACGGAGGAGTTTTCTATATCTCTCTCCATGTAAGTTCTTGACAAATTTCTTGCCTACTAGTTTGGGTAAATTTGTTCAGAATCAAGACAACAGCTTATCATTGGTGGTGATTTAATTCATTCTAAAGACGTGTAATTTAACATGATTTACCACCAAGTGAAACCAAACCAAATATAGAACCTGATACTAGGTTTTATAGTAAAGTGAGAAACGTCGCATGCAGTTCCTACATAATTAAGTTATTTCGGGGTTTTGTCTAAATATGTTTTCTTTTTACTGAAACAGCCGTGTTCACGAACTATCTTCAGATGTTTCCATGGTTGCATCACCTAGAAGCTAACTGGGAAGCTATTCGAGATGAGCTGATTTTGTTCGTGAAAAATGGCGCTGGAATGTGCAACGTCCACACAACTGGTGGCAACGAGCTCAATACAGAAAGCAAATGGAAACTGGCGATGGTTTTAGGCTACGGCAAACCCATAGACGAGGTTAAGTCTTTTTTTCCTGTCACACTCTCCATATTGACGAAGCTTCCTGAAGTTCAAAATGCAGCATTTTCGCTTTTGAAAGCAGGAGGATCAATTCCGCCGCACTGTGGGTCTACAGCGTCTATTCTACGCTATCATCTGGCGTTGATTGTACCAGACAAGGGGAAACGTTCTTGGCTGACAGTAAGTGGCGCTGATGTACCATGGAAAGAGGGAAAAGGGATCTTGTTCGACGACACTTTTGAACATTCTGCTTGTAATGGTTCAGAAAAGGATCGCGTTGTGCTAATTGTTGACATTATTAGACCAAACCTGGGACTCATAGATGGAATGATTCAAAAATTGGAAGTTTGGAAACAGACAAGGGATTTTTTCCTTGGAAAACAAAGTTGAAAAACAGAGGAACAATATTATACTTACACTGTAAAATGAAAAGAGCCAATTTGGCTCCAAAAATGGGGCCGAAACGGGTGAGTCCAGAATGGTACTGTTTTTGGGGCCAATTCAGCCCCACTGAGAAGGGGCTGTTTTGGTACCAAAATTTGGGGCTAAATTGACCCTTGCATCAGGGCCAAATTAGACCATGTAAAGGGTCAATATGGAAAACGCTAGGGCCATTTTGGATTCTTCAGTAGCCAAAACAGCCCCCTCCAATTTTGGCCCTCTTAAAAACTACCCCTCAAAAAGTAGCCGATTCAGCCCCCTATCGGGCTATTATGGTATTTTTAATTTGGATGGGGGCCTACAGATTTTTTCCCTCAATTAGGTATTGACAAATAATGAAACCAAACTAAGGCTTATTTCAAACATTTATTCAGTTCTGAATAAGTTACTGTGATCTGTGTACATCATAACAACACGTATTCCAACCTATATTTGTGTAACATTATCTTCGGTTAATCTCAACTTTTCCAGATTGAACATTTAGAATTATTGGAGGAATTAAATTGGCCAAGAGAGACACTTGTCTTCGGTGCGATCAAAGTAACTACTTCTTATAACGGTTTTCACAAAAGACAAAGTCAAAATCATAATCAGCATCATAGGAACACTTAAAACCTATCGTGAAAATCAAAAATTGGAGTTGTAAAGGGTTTCATCAATTACAGCTCACCAGAATTGGAGTCAATTAATAGGTTTCTTTTATAACTCCCCTTTTGACAAAAAAAATAAAAGATTGTCAGAGTTGGTCAAGTTCTACTGCTAACAATTCCGACAATGTACATTAGATTGAAGCAAAAGAGTTGTAAGAGCAATAATGAACTAAGATGCTTTAGCTATATCAATTCTCAACCTTCTGATTATGACTCCGACTCTGTCTACCTTGCTAGTGCGAGCCTTTAATGACTTGACCTAATCCTTTTGAAGGGTGGTTTTCACTCGTGACAAAGTCAGGGTCATAGTCAGAGCACTTATCACCTAGTGAAAATCAAAAATCAGAGTCGCAAGGGAAGTCATAACTAGAAGCTTGATGGAATTGGAGTCATCACAACTTTCTATTCTTCAGATTCTGCTTATGATGTAGAAAACCAGATTAAGCAGGAGGGGAATCGTCAAAGGATAAACCACTTACCAGTCAAAATCCTTGTTCCCATGCGTTATAGTTTTCGCTAGATCAAAAGTGAAGGAGTCATGATTGGAGTAATATTATACCCTGTTAGTGTTATATCTAAATCAACACTCTATGCTTTTGATTATAGTTCCCACTCTGTATCCTACTAGTAAACCAGCCTTTAATGACTTGGCAAATGTTTCAAACTATATTTTACTCAACGGTCATTATGTTTAAAAAATCATGCCAAATCTTGGTCTATAGGGGTGAAAGAAAACTTCCATGAAAAAAATTTTGACAATTTGGCTACACCTCACGAGGTTGTCCTGAATTTACATTCAGCAAGAACTGAGGCATTTGCCAAGTCATTAAAAAAGGGAGGAAACATTGACAAGTGTCTGCCCCAGTCCACTTTCAAGCAATGCCTGATCTAGAAAAGTCAAGATGGCTTTACATTGGGTGTATGATACATTAAATACATAAAAACACCCAAGCAATACTATCACTGCATAAAATTCTTCTGAGGAAGCTGGCAAATAATGCCTCCCTTTGTCACAAGAAAATCCTGAATTTTCTGTCAACATCTGCATCCCCCTGCAATAAAAACAAATGTCGTAATTTTAGAAATGATAATAACAATACTTAAAGCACAACAAACAGTGCCTACACATAAAAAGTCAGTATGGTCATAACAATACTGTTGTCAACAAAATGTTGGTTTAATTTCTTCTTTCCAGTTTTCACGTATGTATGTATGGTATACTGTATAAATTATAGTTGTTCACATTATGCTTACTTTATGCTATGGGAAAGAGAATGATAGCAAGATTATGTCTAATGCATTCACACATCATTGAGGAGGTAATTACAGTGTGCATGTCCTGATACAAGAAGAGTATTTTAGTACAAGTATTTCCCACAAATCAAGAAATATTGCAGCTGTAAATCAAAACTCGTTAAGTATTTATGTAGCCATTATTATTTTGTGAGATTTGGAGTAGTCTGGTGACGGGAATGGCTCCCAAGGGATGCCTTCATAATAAAAGCTAAATTGCACCTCCATTTTGTCTGACTTCCACCTGTATCTGGGCTTCCCAAGCATTTAGGGTTCAATGTACAGTTGAGTTTGTAGCACTCCTGTGGTATTTTGTATCACAATATCAGGAAAAACATTGTATTCCCAAAAATACCTACCTCTACAATAGTGACAACTTCCTCCCGAAGTCCTCTTGGCACTTTGATCAATGCCGCAGAACCATGTTCACTACCAAAAGGATGCCCAGCTTTCTATTTCTGCCATAGAAGAAATGTTATTAAATTAAAACTGGTTTCCTTGGAGCACCAAGTTTATTTACACACAGTTCTGAGTAATTCTGGGAGCAAATTGACTGACAGACCCTCTTACCTAAATCACACCTGCAGAATTCTGCAACCTAAAATTCTATTTCCTAATTTTATACATAATTATATTATTACAATTCACATCATTCGTTGAAACCCTTTAAGCCTTAAGTGTGATAAGCATCAAATTTCTCCTCGTAATATCAATGCTTTGTAAAACAGAGTGTTCATAAGAATTATGGACATGATCACACAATTTTTTTTTGATATTTTATCAACTTCTTCCCACTACTTTTGTAGGAAATGAATAGGGGCAACAAATGAGAATTCAGATTTTGATCTTAAGGTTTAATGGGTTTTAAATTTCTCTATTTTTAATGCATTTATTTTGCACTTATTTATCAGACAAGAGAACTAATGCATTGGTAAGGCAAACCTTACTTTCAAACAAAACAAGTACTGAAGTCTACAGTGTAAATGTATAACTAGACGACCTGGTTTTTTCATTTCTGTTTATCATTCTCCCTGTTTTAAACAGGGGACAGTGAGGGGATGGAGGTGCTTTTTAACTCCTCCACTGGCCTAACTACAGAGTACAGGGTCACTTATTTCCTTATCATTAGATAATAAAAGCATCTAATATGACTCGTTCTTCAAAGCCTTCTGACCAGGTGGACTTTAGTGACCCTGAATTCTGTTTAATCAAACGTGGTTAAAATAGCTCAGACTTTTGCATTTGGTAGAAAGAAAGTGAATCAGGGCGGCTTACCTCGTCTTACTATCGGCTTTTTCCAGCAAAGTCTTAATTCGTGGAGATAAGTGATTTTCTAATCCAAGACTTTTGAGTAGAATGGGGGCGCCCGGGCGCTCGAAGCGAAATCTTTTCGACCAGAACAATTAAACCAGGAGGGAGTCATAAACTCGTCAGCGCGGCTGTCCGATGTGTCTGGCCATCGTGACGTCACAGCAAAGTGAAGCGTGCGTCGAGAAGATTTTCGCATGGATAATAGAAAGACTGGATAGGAAACTTATGTCACGTGGGCTGATTTCTAATCGCCGATTGGCTGGTTCGTGCTTCAAGATGGCGTTGACTGGTTCCATCATAGTGGAAATTTGTGACGAAATGATGGCGAAAATGTGGCGCACACCAGTCGAAATGTAGAGTTTGTTTGCCTCCATGTTGTTCTTTTTCGGAGTTTTTACTGCTACTTTAATTTTTGGCGTATGTTTTTCCCTTCGTTTGTTGTCTTGCGGCGATGGCGACCCTTCAAAGCCACACTTGAACCTTCGAGGTAAGCACTTCTTGTTGTTGTTTTGTGTTATTTGTCCTTGTCTTTGAGAAAATTTCGTCCCAAAAATTTACCTTACAGAGCCATATTTACTAGACTTGTGGACCATTTTGGGACGCCTTTATTTAGAAGGTTCCTTCTTCTTTCTATTTATAACTACGATTGACAGATGTTTTAAGGATGGAATTGTGGCATAGGCATAGTTACAGACTGAGTGCTGTTATTTTCCAGCCGTACATTTCGATTGAAAATGACCGAAATTAACTACATTCGGAGCTAGTGCCGAACAAGTGTACGCACACGGTGTGCAATTTTCCAATGGGCAGACTTGTTTGTGTTGAGAACTGCTCCGCTCAAGTAATATCCTAGATTAACCCTGCTAATTGTTCGTAAAGCAGTACGTTAATTTCACTCATCTTTTCATGTTGAAATATAACTTCTAAATTACATATCCATTGAATACAATCGCCTCACGTCGCTCCTCGCAGCTTGTATTCGAAGGTACTGAAGAGACTCGAATATTTTTTTTGTACATAAACTACATAAACATAAACTACACCTACTGACTGCTGATTTTTGGCCTCCGTTTAGGCTCCTAAGTGTTGTTGTTATTTTGTAAACAGTGTTTTAGTTTTCCTTGTGTTTGTCTTTTTTGTAGGATTTGCTGAACACATTTAGTCAATGAAGACAGTAAATTGTGGTCAAGCAGGGTCAAGTAATCTTCTGAGAGGGCACAAATCAATCAATCTTTCTGTATAAAACAGCAACTAAAGTTACTTTTGTCATGCATGAGAGCCAGAAGGTGGCATATAATTTATTTCTGATCAGAAGGTGCTTTAAGCTTTATTCATCACATCTGAAGAGTGTTAGCTACTCCTTTCTGACTGGGACAAATTAATTGTGTGTGAGGGTCACTGCATGTATTAGCTGCAGAGTAATGTGTTTTAGATTTGGTTAGTGTTTTTCTCTGAAGCGGTCTAAATCTGAATCACATTGTTTTTCAAACCAGAGATGGACTTGATTAGCACTATTATTGAACTCGGTTCTTTTAGAGATCCAAAGCAACAATGTACCTGTAGATGATAAACCTTACCAAGATGTATTCTAAATCAAATTAATAAAACATATACCTGTACTTGTTTGGGGTATGAATTTTGTTTTCAACAACATAATAATGTGACCAGACAGTCATATTTTTTCAAGCCCTTATC